GCGCATGCATGTGCACACACATACGCACTCGCGCACACACACACACACACACACTGTTTTGCCACCCTCGTGAGAGGTGACTAACCCTAACCCACCCTGTCCTATTTCCAGAAAAAACATGACCTTTCTGTTTGGAAAACTATAAAGTCTTGGCTCATGAGAAGTGACTGAATGTGAAATGCCATGGCAGGTGGGAGCGGGGGTTACATAGCAGCAGCTCTAGCAGGGTCCTCCCACTACAGACATCTCCCTCCCCGTGAGGCTCATCCCCCTGACATGACTGCACCTGGTGTCATGAAGTTGAGAACCACTGAGACAGTAACGCTTTTCCAAAAGTGTCGCCCAAGAGCGCCACATTCCTCTCCTTGCCCCATTGCTACAGCTCTGTGCCTCTACCCTCTCTTCTGAACTCTGGACTACAGCAAGTTTAAGATTTTTTTTTTTTTTTTTTTGTCCTTTTTGTGACCGGTAAGGGGATTGCAACCCTTGGCTTGGTGTCGCCCCCACCGTGCTCAGCCAGTGAGTGCACCGGCCATCCCTATATAGGATCTGAACCTGTGGCGGGAGCACTGCTGCGCTCCCAGCATTGCACTCTCCCGAGTGCGCCACAGGGCCGGCCCAAGTTTAAGATATTTTAAACTAACTCAATTAAAATGTAGTATCTTCTGTCTCTAATGACAAATAAAGTTTATTAAATTAATTTAAAATTTTTCTTTAGATATGCAACATGGTGAATTGGCAATTCTGAGTCATGACATTTTCAACTCTTGCCTAAATTATCTGGTAAAATTTGAGTATTTGGTACAAAACTTCAATTTCTCTCCTCACTTGGTGTAGGCGCAGCCTGAAGGTCTCAGTCAGCCATTAATATCCTAAATAATTAACTAATTTGGGTCCTTCAGAAACATGCTGTTAGTGGCTTTTTGGACAGACATGCATGAACTTCATATTGCACATACAAACAGCTTTTTTTTTTCCCCTGGGGAAAAAGCTCACTGGAAACAAGAAAAGGAAAAAAAGAAAATTTCTTCTAGGATTTTTGTCTAACGACACCTAAGCATATCTATTATATTGACTCCTTTTAAAATTACAACTACCTATTCTTAAGTTTCATGTTTTACTTTAAGCATGAAGTCATGAACTCATTGCACGTTATAAACTCAGCTCTTCTAGTTGTTAAAGTAAAAAAATACATACAGAGCAATCTCTAAGAAAAAAGTTTTATTTGGGAAAACAGGATTATAATCCGGGGTATATACACAGACCAGGGTGATCTTCTGGGTGTCCAAGAACAAAGAAAGCGTTGGGAGTTTTATTAAAAGGAGAAGTGCTACATATCGTTTTCAAAGAAAGCTCATTGGCTCTAGTGAAGTTTTAGGAGTTGGCAGGTTTTGATTGGTGAGCGATAGCAGTAGATAAAATTAGTCTCAGAGTCATGGCAGGTCGTTTCAGCAGCTACTGCGTAAAACTGGTCTCAGGGTTACAGCAGGCTGTTTCAACAGCTGGGTTTGTAGAAAATTCTTATTGGAGCAGGTGCTATGTGTTTCAAGTGCTTTTTCCTTTTAAAAATCTTTTAGTGGTTCTTCTTGGGAAGTTCCATTTAAACTTCCTGGAGCTCAGCCCAGCATGAAGATGCCGAGGAGGACCACCCCCAGTCCCTTGGGGTTTGTCGCCCCCTAAGACTGGTGAGGACTGGAATGCAGCCTGTCCACTTCTTTCTTGCTGCCCTCACAGGGAAGCATTCAGATCTTGCTTCATGGTAAGGATTCTCTATAATCACTGGAAGTAAAGCAACGTGGGTGATGAGCACAGCTAACAAACGCTGGAGAGTTTCCAAGCACGCAAGTTCCAAGAGTGGCTTCTGTCCCTGGGAGGCCTAGCAGTCACTGGCCTGGCCCCTGAGGCTCGGGAGGGAAAGAGAAGAGCCTGCAGGACTGAACTGAATCACAGAAACCCCAGGCAGGCTAATGACTTTCAGGCCCCAAACCAACTAGTCTTTGTTATATGTCTGTTCAACCTTTATTTAAGGCAGCAGAGTTGACACTGGACAGGGCTGTTCTGTAGATTTCCACCAGAGGAGTCTACTTGCTTCAGCAAGAAGTAGGATCTATTCATATTTTATCAGTTATATGGAAACTTGAGACAACTGGCAGCAGGCAGCAGACGTCTGAGTTATTACAGTAACATTCTTTGGCCCTTATGGTGTCCCAGGAGGCTGTCCTAATTCCCCTCTAGGTGCTGTGAGCCGAAGAAAGGGCAGGATCACATCTTCAGGGAGTAATGCTAGGAGTCATGGGAGTCACAATCAGAACAGTGATCCCAAATGGGCCACCTGGTGTGGAAGGCCTGAGGCAGGTTTCAGGTGCCTGAGCACGAGAGAGGACAGGTATTTCGTGAAGTGGGGAGAAAAGGAAGTGAGAGCATGTGTCATGGGGTTGAAACAAATTGTGCCACCCCCCTTCTTCCTTAACAGAACCCCAATTTTGTGTGGGGTAACAATGTGTCTAGTCCAGTCCCCCCAAAAACAAAACAAAAACCAAAAAACACATCACTAGGCTAAAGTAATCATAGCAATCCCATTTGCGCTAGGCCAGTATGTACTTTCCCAGTCTGATTATAAGGGTGTTACCGTTGTAGCCAGTGACAAGTAGAAAGCTGCTGGGAGTTTCTGCAAAGAACTTCATTTTCTGATAAGAGATGTGGGAGAGTTTGCTTGTCCGCTCCCACCCCTGGCCTTTGAGGACAGTCGGGAAACCTGGAGGTGCGGCACCCATCTTGATAAAGGACGCAAAGGCAGTCTCCTGATCAGATTATAGAGCTCCTGCTCCAGCCCTGAAACTGCCTTTCCCCAGTCTTCTTGTCTGTGAGATCCTGAAATGTGTCAAGAGCTGAACTCCCTGTTAGTAGGATGGCACTGGTCTTGCCTTGGTCTGGGCATTTCCCCATTCACTGAAATGCCAAGAATTTAAAAAAGGCCCTTTCAACTTGGAAAATAAGGTTCTTTACTTCTGAGAAATTTCCCTTGAATTGAAGGTATCATCATCATGAAATTTCAGAACTTCAGGGATAAAGAAAACATCCTACAATCTTTCAGAAAAACAAAACAGGTCGCAGAAAGGATAATGCATGACCTCTCAGCAACCACACTGGAAGACAGAAGACAATGGAGAATGCCTTCAAAATGCTGGGCGGAAATTTTTTTCAACCTAGAATTCCATACAAGCCAGAATTTAAATTTGAGGGATGAATAAATACCTTCAGATATTAAAGGGCTCAAAAACTTTAGCTCCTGTGCTGTCTTGTCCTCCTGTGAAATAAGGGAGTTCATCAAGGAAAAGGCGTGGATCCATGGATCTGACTCTCAGAATCTCTAGATTGGTGACATCCAGTTCCTAGGCTTTTGGGTGGCTGAGAAGGTTCCTTCTGGAACCTCTTCAGAGCTCCCATCACCTCTTACATCATGTCTAACCCACTAATCCAACCCAACTCTCTATCACTCCCCCAGTTCCCCTGCCTTTTGTTCCCCTCCCTCAGTATGTCTTCTTCCTGTCTCTACTGCCCCAAGGGATGGGACAGGTGGAAGCAGCCCCCGCTCACTCCCCAGTGCTGCAGTAGTAAAACACTTCTACAGCAATCGCTAACCATCTCCTGCTCGGAGAATCGAATGGGTACATCTGTTTTTGCCCTATTCAAACTCTGTAGCATTTAGTACCTGTTAACCATGCGGCCTTCCTTTTGGCTTATATGAGAATATTTTGAAGTAAATCTTTTCCTCCTGTTCTAACAATTTACAATTTCTTACAGCCTCCGCCTCCCATCTCTCTTAAGTGTAGAGTTTACACTGGTCTCTCTCCAAGTCCTCTTGATTTTACCTCTCATCAATCCTCTCCTTTCCAATCCCACTGCTGCAACTGCTTAGTTCAAGCCCTCATCGTTTGTCTATACTTGGTTAAGAGTTTCCTTCGACTGGCCTCCTGGATACCATCTTGCCTCCCACTCCCAAGCTATTCTTCATAGTGTAGACAAATTAATTCTGAAACAAATCTGATCATGGCGCTGCCCTCCTAAAAGACCTCTCGGTGACTCCTGACTACCTGCAATACCCAAACTCTTGAGTGAGTGCGTCCCCAAAGGCCAGCTCGTCTCGCAGCCGGGAGCCTGGGAAGCCACGTCGTACTGCTCCAGACCTTTCACGTGCTGCACGCTCCACCGCTCCCCGGCCTAGTTATCTCCTGCCCGTCCTTCCAGACCCAGCGCAAGCCTTCCCTCCTTTCTGCACCCAGGACAGCGACGATTCCCATTCAGGAGTCCGCCCTGCCGACGGGAGCAGCTCCGGGGCGGGGGCTGTGTCTTAGGCATCCCGGGGACCGCCAGCCAGGCGCGGCGCCTGACGCAGGTTCCGTAAATGCTGCCGAGGAAGGAACGCGTGAATAGAAAAACAGAAAAGCGTCTTCTCCCCCTGGCCCTGCTCCCATCCAGCTCCGGGCCTGGGCTTCGGTTTCCTCTGGAAACTCAGACAAGAGGTGCAGGTGCCTTCGCGCCCCGCCACAGGGCGGCACGGGAGAGAACCGGGCTGCAGGTGGCTGTGCACACAGCACCGGCCCGCCCAGGCCCCGCCCAGGCCCCG